CTTAAATAATTTTGATAGTATTGTTTTTAACTGTTTGTGCCACTAATTGAAACCAGAGTGATACTGTGATTTAGTTCCTTTAATGCATTTTATTTTCTTATAATTCCGATCTCAGGTATAACCTTTGTTCCCCAGAGTAGTGTTTAAGTTAGGTTAGGAAGGATGCATCTGTTGGGGTAATATAATTTTGTTAAGTGCCCTGAAGGCCTATTCTGGGTGGAGTTAATAAGTTCTTGTTTTTTTAATACCATTTTCTCAGTGGTTGATATTAATTTGTTGAAGGCCCTTAAGGCCTGTTTCATGTGTGCAAGCAACAATTCTTAATACTTTGAATTTATTCTTGTCTAATGAGGCATTGTCTGAGTTTCTAATAATTTCAATCATGTATAACTTTTATTCCCCAGAGTAGTATTTTATGTTCAAGTTAAGAGGTGCGCATATTGGTGTACCATTATTTGATTGTGTCTGTAGTGTTGGAGGGAATATAAGTGTCTAACTTTTACAGTGTGTCTCATTCATCCCAGTCACAGACGCTATCCTTCCACGGGTCACAGACAATTCATTTTATTTAGTAAATTTAAGTGTTCTTGTGCTGGTTCGGGATTTTTCTCAAAAGGGCGCTTCCACTGCAATTACCATCTAATAATCTTTAATAAACCCCAAGTCAAGTGAGAAATTAAAGGTCCAGTAATTCCGACCGGTTACATATATATATATATATATATATATATATATATATATATATATATATATATATATATATATATATATATATATATATATATATATATATATATATATATATATTATTCAGAAATTTTAATGTGATATTTTAGAGACGTTAGAACAAAAATGACCGATCTGCCAAACAGGGAAACATAAGTAGGCCAGGCTGAAACACCCACGCCTCATGGCGAGTTAAAACAAAGGCTTCCAAGCAACGCCATCAGTCGCAGGGGTGGAAGCATTTTGAACTAGGCCTATAGAAAATTAAATGTACTTTATCGAATTAATGTAGACACGATTCATGAAGTTAAGGGACAATTATAAAATTTAAAGTTATTGTGGATAGTTTCCCAGTCTAAATATGTTACGTGTGTCCCAAAGAAACTATTAGAAATACGCGAAAGATGACGTCATGGGGGTGAAGGCTAGGCGGCCGCCCTGAGGATGACGCTGTGCCAGGTCTCAGTAGCGCTCAAGCGTTTGGTTTGGCCCAGGCGGAGGGAGTCCACGCATCTGCCAAGGAAAACGACCACGTGGCCTCGTCCCTTCCCAAGCACGTTTCATCAATGTTGCAAGTAAGTTCTATTCGATCTCAGACAGTGTTTAGATAGGGTGGAGAAGAAGTTAACAGTAGCTAACAGAGTCTTCTCTGGCAGGGTTTTGAGAACCCACTCGGTCAGCGTGTGATTGGTCACTGGTAAGCGGTCGTATAGCTGGAAAGCACGAGGTGAACAGGTGTTTGTGACGACTACCTATGTGGGACCAGCGTCGGCACTTTTGGTCGGTGGTCGTTCTGAGTCAACAAATCTCCCCACCTTGGTTCATACAACACCACATCTCTTCAGTCAGTGAGTGAAAAATCTTACAAACGGCAAAATAGAACCCCTCCCTCAGCTGGACATGGTTCACCTGCTGACAATCACTCTCTTCCTGTCCATGAAGTACTGAGAGTAAACTGAGTGCAGGCTGAGTGGATGAAAAGTTACACACTGAGACCAGGAGTCTAGTGGTACATAGAGACATTTATCTCCCCAGTATTGGGTGTATGTGATCGAATTAACCAAGACCAGGTGTGTAATCAACGCTCCTCATGGTTGATTGCACACGTGGGATGTAGGGGTTCCTCTTCAAAGTTGGTGAATGGCTGTAACACCTTAAAGTATGGGTGTGTTCTGAGAATATGTGTGAAGCATGTTACGGGTGATGGTGGTAAAGGGTGATTAGAATAGCCAAGTCCAGGTGTGAGATCAACGTTCCTCATGGTTGATTACACACGTGGGACGTAAGAGTTCCTCTTCAAAAGTTTGTGAAAGGCTGTTAGTACCTTAAAAGTAAGGGTGCATTCGGAACCTATATGTGAAGCATGTTAAGGGTGTTGGTGGAGAAAAACATTCATGACTCCTGAAATCTAGAGAGAGTAATGAAAAAAAAAACAGTTGAGCACCCGCCGCCTGCCTGACGGGTCATGAGTGATTTTCTCGGTTTCTTGTAAATGCCTGTCCCTTGGCAGGTTAGTAGTAACAACCTTCGGGTTCTGGGTAGTTAGGACAGTTAGGATTATAGTATTTTGTGGGTCATCCCAGACAGGCTATGAGTGATCCATGTTCTTGTGTAGTATGATTAAATCAGGATTTCTATTCCTCAGTGATTGCTATAATTTTGTCGGACGCCCTTTAGGCATGTTCATCGGTGCAAGTAATATTATTTTAATGTTTTATGTGCCACTAAGTGATGTAGGATGTACGAAGGATTTGTTTCAGAAGAGTTCCTCGTTCTGGTGTAGGTAGTACTGCTGCATTAGTAGTCCTCCCCAGATGCATTTAATATCTTTTAATAATTTTGATACCAAGTCTAATTTTTGTTCCCCATTGTAGTCTTTTTAAGCCACGCTAAGAAGTAGTTTAATGTTTGTGTACCTTTATTGATTGTGACCTGTAGTGTTGGAAGGAATAGATAGTGTCATCTTTTACCAGTGCGTCTCATTAACCCCAATCACAGGCGCTAGCTTTTCACGGTCACGGAGAATAATTTTATCTAATTGTGTTTTGTGCTGGTTCGGGATTTTCTCTGAGGGGCGCTTCCACTGCATTACCATCCACTATTACTCAAAAACCCTCAATAGCTAAGAGTGAGAGATTAAAATTCCGACCGGGTATACTATATATATATATATATATATATATATATATATATATATATATATATATATATATATATATATATATATATATATATATATATATATATATATATATATATATATATAGAAGAGAGAGAGAGAGAGAGAGTCGTTAATCAGGATTAGGAAGCACAGTGGTCCCGTCCCATCTTGGTCCCCTGGGGAACACTGCAGGTGAGGTGTTGAATTGTGGAGATAGAACCCTTGTACCTCACTGCTTGACGACGCTCAATCAGGAAATCAGTGAGCCATGAGACCAGGTTGGTGGGCAGCCCTAGTGCAATAGCGTTGTTGATAACAGTGCAGTGATAACAGTGCATGTGTGTGTGTGTGTGTGTATGTTACGGAGCCGCAAGTTTACCAGCTCACTTCACCAACGACATCACTTCCACAGTCACGCATCACACGGAGTTGACCCGCCGTCACCTAATGGGTTATGTAATACTGACTCATTGGAAGAATTATGTCACGTGATGTTAATGTTTCCTTAGATATGTACATATGAGCACAAATGTCGAAATATTTAACACATGATCACCCGCCACACACACACACATACACACACACACACACACACACACACACACTCTTCCTCGTTGTAAACTCTACTCTGTGATCCCTTTGCGCTACCGCTCACAGGTTGAGTGTGGGGTGCACAATAAAGTAGCCGCTGTAAGCGGCAAAATCAAAATCAATCCTCGGTTACACACCTAACTTGCGTAATCACCTCACAGTTATGAATATAATCAATCTCAGGTTTATAGGATATCAAGCGTCTGTGAACTCAGTACATACGCCACTAATCAAACTCATTCTTATGTGTTTAAGATAATAATGATTAGAATTTTAACCATACTTGTAATGCTTCGTACTTTTATTTTGAGTTATAAACATTATACACTATTACTGATAAATGGTATTTTCAGACAAGAAGAAATTAAAATACTATTTAAATAGGTCTCTATTTATGTGAAAGATTAAGTGAAAATATGGTATGTTTTGGGTCACGTGATCATTAGGTATGGTTAGATTTGGTTAGGTTAGGTTATGTTATGGAAGGTTAGGATAGTTAATAATTATGTAACGTTAAGTTAGGTTAAGTTACGATAGTTAGGCTAGATTCTCTTATGGTAGGCTATGTATGTTTTTTGGTTAGGTTATGTCATATTAGGTTAGTTTAAGTTAGGTTAGATTAGGTTTTGTCAACTAAGGTTAGATTATTTTATGTTAGGCTAGATTACAGTATAGGTTGAGTTAGGTTAGGTTAGGTTACGTTACGTTATGTTATGTTATGTTAGTTTCGGGTATATTATGTTAGGTTACGTTAGGTTAGGTTAGTTTCGATTATATTATGCTATGTTAGGTTAGGCTACGTCAAGTTAGGTGAGGTTAGATTTATAGGTTAGTTTGATTAATTATCTCGTGAAATAAGCTGAGTTTCCATATGTTTACACGATAATTTTTGTAATACATTTTAAGATATTTGAATGCATGTGTGTCAGGAGGAAACATAATTCTGCGTCAAGCTCAGGAGTTCCTTGAGGTGACTTTAACAATCAGCATTATGTGTTACGTTAACCTTAGTCACTCGACTGAGGTGGTGAGGTCATTAAGCCAAAGTGTGAATTCACTCGTGTACTGGCTAGACTTATGGCTCTAAACTGAAACTGAAGTGTGTGTGTGTGTGTGAATGTGTGTGTAATTGGGGACCTGGATGTTAATCGCTTTGCGGATCGTATTCCGGAGTAGTGGTTAGCCAGTACTGTTGGCGAGTTGTCCGGTCTTCTTGGACTCTTCCTTGACACTGGTTTCTGCAACTCGTTAACTTAGGGTGTGGTTGTTGTGGTGGTGACAGCTTCTACACCTTAAACAAATTCACGCCTTGGTGGCCCTTCGGTCGGCCACCCTCGTTATACGAGGGGCAACCATTTTAATACTAATAAATAATAATAATAATAACAATAATTATAATAATAATAATTAACGATTTATTGAAACAAACATGGCAGCCGGAAGGCTGAAAATAAACAGTTACATAATTGGGGAATGGGTCTCTTGATTGACAAATACTATACAAGTAACATAAAAACGAAATAAAAATTATATATAATAACAAGGTGGGGAGAAAGTTAAACTACAGGGCATTTCAACATAGTAACAGTGCAAATAGGTAAGATTGGTTAGGAGTGAACGCGCTGGTTGATTATGAGTTGTTGATAATTTTTACAATGGTTGGGACTGGGCTGTTCTTATTGAGATCAGTGCGTGCTCGTATGGGCTAAATACGGTTGTGGTGTTGAACAACAATTCGCGGACGAAGGAACTCTGGTGGAAGTAGGAACCGGTGTCGAGGATAGTGCAGAAACTTTTCGCCAAATTTGCAGATGAAGTAGCGGTGTGTGTGTGTGTGTGTGTTTACTGGTAATATTAAACAAAACAAAAATAATTACGCTCATAGACAAGACAAGAGAGGACAGTAAACTTAAAACATTCTTTTATTTACGGGGATTAGCCCACCAGGGCACGGGTCACTGACCCACATCGGGGCCTAGGGGGCGAAAATGTAATAATAATTTCAAGCTATAAGTTACAATCCATTAATCCATTTGACACTGACTCTCGAGGAAACTTGTACAGCAGAAGGTGGACAGAGATTCAGTTGTCGCATCCTGTTGTGGCGGAGCGGCGGTGTACGAGGTGTTCACCCAGGAAGACCACCATACTAACCGACAATCCTGGCGAGAGAAAGACACACACATTGGTTTTGTTTTTTTACGTAATTACAATTCAAAAGGACCCACCACACTTCAGAGAGAGACTCACCACACTTAATAAAGACTCACTACACTTCATAGAGACCCATCACACCTCATAAAGATGCACCACATTTCATAATGACTCATCACACTTCATAAATGCTCACCACATTTCATAAAGGTCCATCACACTTCATAAAGACCCATATCAATACAGAGAGATTTACCATGCTTCACAAAGGTCAACCATGCTTAACGGGGAGTCTCCCCATTTCTCGAAGACCTATCATACCCTTCAACAAACTAATCACACTTCAAAAAAGGCCTACAGCACTTCAGTAAATCACAACTTATCAGGACACACCTCAGTTCTCAAAGACCCACCAAACTTCACAAGTACATGAGACACTATACTGTATCTCACTAAGCCTCACCAGAACCTAACACACCTAGCACAGCGGGCTCTCAATGGGGTCCCCCTGAGTGTAGTAATTGCCTACCTATTCAATGAGATTCTGGAGACGGACTACTATAAGAACATCGTGGGTACTAGATACACGTGGCATAGGTCGTTATCATTTCACCTGGAAGGGTGGACTTTAAAAAGACACTAAGAAGAGACTCAACGAGATTCACCCAAAGATCCAGTTCACCATGGAGGAAGAGATAGATGGCCAGCTCCCCTTCCTAGACACAATCATCATAAGCACTAATGAGGGGGCCCAAAGTCAAGGTATACCACAAGCCTACCAATAAAGATGACAGTATCCACTACCTGTTAGCCCACAGCATTAAAACAAAGACAGGCGTGGTCAAAGGATTCATCCTGTGGGCTCACAGAATATGTGAAACCGAATATCTGGAGGATGAGCTGGCATACATCTTTAAAGCCTCCGAAAAACTGGGTTTCCAAAAGGATTATTGATACAGTTACAGAACAAGACCTAACACGACACAAGAAGGACGCAACACAAGGAACACAAAGCAGAGATACAAAGTAATACCTACCCCCCCCCCCCACCCCTTCGTTACTCTCATTACAGACTAACTACAACATTTCACCTTCAAAACAGCCATCACGTCAGGAACCAAGATCGGAGACATAGTCAGAAATAAACAGAAAGACCAAACAAACACCGACAGCATTGTCCGCAGTACTGTATACCCTGCGGCTCCTGCGACAAGACATACTACGGAGAGACAAGCAGAGATCTACAGACGAGACTGAGTACACCGAGCAGACGCCAGACACCACAGGATAACCAACGCCTTAATAGTATAGTAAACTTTAAATATTTTTACTTAATTTAATTTCAAAACTAAATTTTCTGTTGTTCCAAAATATATGATATTATGTAATATAGAATGATATTCAAAATTAGTTTAGGTATCCTTCTGAAATGTAAAAGAATGGGACAAGGAAAGAGAATGTGAAAACTGTTGAGATCAACAAATATGTAAAAGTTTACAGAAATCTTTTAATATTCATGTTAATAATTGTATGAAGCAGATGATCACTTTGGAATGATTTGTAAGTCTTAAAGTGCTGTAACTCAATATAAATTGATTGAAGTAAGTAAATATTTTATGGAATGTTTGTAAGATATTGTTATACATTGGGATAAGTTGTGTAAAATCATAATGTGTAGAAATTAAGTTAAATATTTAACCTAAGTGAACTGATACTGTGTAAATTAAAATTATATTTGAGCTGGAACCTTAACTAATAAATGAACACAAAATAGAGATAGGTTAAGACAGCCATTTTCTGATCTGGGTCCTTACAGGACAGACGTGTTAGGTCTGTCCCTGGATGTATATAAATTTATAAATGTGTGTATTAGAAATACTCCAGGAGATGGTAAGATCAATAATATTTGTTAATTATTTATCAGTGATATAGTAAATAAGTAATAATATAAGTAAAACATTGGAATTTTTTATGATAATCTTTGATAGGCAAAAATATTCTTTATTAATATTATGATTCTTTTAAAAATTATACTGATTATACAGGAAGTAATAGTCTGCGCGGAAAGTTAGGTCGCAATAGGGCCGACGAACAAACTTCTTACGTAAATAAGTTCATGTTTTGTGAAGGCTGTCCCGGGACGCGAGATGTTAGTACCCTTGGTTGGCTGGCACAACTGAGCACACGTCACGGCTTGCTCTCAGTGCGCCTCTGGGAATCGTGAGGGGAAGATTAACTCTGCGGGTTTGCGCGCCCCATGGCCATTTTTTGCCTCGTTTACGGTGCATTACCCCGACATAGTGGCCATCAGAGATGTCCAGGAGGGTTACTACAAGGGTCGACATTGCAGCAGTGATTGCATTGTACAAAGCAAACCACGAACTGAGAAATATTTCTGCTCAGATTGGTGTGGGATTGCATGTTGTGCAGAAACTTGTGAAGCGTTACCGTGAGGTTGGAGAGGACATGTTGTCAGCTCCTCTACCCAAGTCTGGTAGGCCTAAATTATTGTTTCCACGGATACTTCAGGATATTTCACGCCAAGTTAAGTCCAATCCCGCCCTCACAGAGAGAAACCCCCGTCTTCTCAGCCACGTCTCCTTAAGCTGTGTTCAGCAATCCTTACATGATGCCCTGGGATTTAAGAGCTTCCGTGCACCGTCGTAAATCTCTACTGACGAAGAGACAAGAAAAATAGAGTGAAATTTTGCAAGAAATATGCAGTGTGGGGTTTAGAGTAATGGAGGAGTGTTTTTTGGTTTGACAAGGGTACGATTTTTGTGACTGGCAGTGGTGGAGGGAAGATGTACCGCCCTCCTCACTCGGATGCATATCTCCTACAGTAGTGAAGACTGTTAATCACCCTGTCTCGCTTATGGTTTGGGCTTGCTTTATGCATTATGGTGTTGGTGAACTAGTAATCCTCGCTAAGAACCAGATGATGAATCAGTACAACTGTCTTGAGCTGCTCAGTGATTTCTTGCCTGAATCATTTGATAAGGCTAAGTCAAGCCCTTTCATGCAGGAAGGTGCCCCATGCCACACTGCTAAAAGTGTCATTCAGTGGCTAAAAGACTGTGAGGTACCTTCCTTTAATGACTGGCCTGGCAGTAGCTCAGATCTCAACCCAATAGAAAATCTGTGGTCCATTGTTAAGCGTCGTCTGCACGACACTGACGCCTCATCAATCCCGAAGCTAGAGGCAACTATCAAGGATATTTGGGCTAATTTCCCACCTGACCTGTTGCAAAACCTTGCTAAAGGACTGCCTGAAGAACAAAGGGGACATTATAAAGTATTAATTGAATTGTTAAATGTTACTTGACTTTATTTATACAACATAACAGTAAATATGCATTTTTTTTCAGCAGACGAGCTAACGTATGAAGAAAATTTTATACTTTTTTATTTTAAATGAACAGTGAAGGACTAATTTATTACTTTATTATTTAATATGATTTATTTAAATTGTTTACTTCTGTGGATTACTTAATTACGTCAATGATTCGTGTGTAAAGTGAACATTTGTGATTGAAAGTGAATTATTATTTATCTAGAATAGGTACTGAAAATAATGCCATTTTCAGGAGTTTAAAGGTTGCATCTAAGTGGAAGAAAACAAGATGACACCACTTGGAACAGGACTTATGTACCAGCTAAGTTTAATACATTAGTATGATTATGCATAGAGTGATATAATTTTACCTGAGAAGGGGTGAAATTGTAATTAAAACCTCTGTGATTTATGTGAACAAGTGATGCCAAGTGAGGAGTTATCACTTGTATTATGATTTGTGCTATTGATAAAAACTTTTACACATATTCTTTGTATAATTGATTCCTTACTGGCAAGGAATTGTCTAAATTTATAAACTCTTCGATTAGTTGAGTTTAGATAAGGTAACTAGAAATTTAAACCTTGTTTTACTGTTGCTACTAGAAACTTACCAATTGTCTATCGATCAAGTATTATCTGCATTAACTTATCTGAATAACAAAGAATAAAGTCGTATCCTCAAATAATCTAATAGTTTATAAGTCACTATACTTATAGCTGCTGGCGCGATATTCATAGTTATACAAAACTGACATAACAAGTTGGTGGTAATATCGGTCTTGTCACTACAATGGCGGGTTGAATACCAGGTTATACCGCTATGCACTGATAACAGCAGTGGGATATTATAAATCTCGCTGCACAAAAGGTAAAATGGGATTTCTGCCCAGATGGGAAGGCGTCCATGTCTTACGCAAGGGCGTGAACAAGACGACCAGGAAAGGCCTGACAGCAGCTTACATTACGCTGCAACTGAACATCAACACCAAAGTAGTTTGGGTGACATTGTGACACACCGCCGCCCAGACAGCGTCACGTGATTGGAGGAAAAAAAGGACAACAGTGACACCAAATGACCAATGGAGAGACGTGATATAGTTCTGCCCACCACCGCTGTCAAAATTCTGTGTACAAGTGGTAGCAACCCATATTGGGTAATATGGGGAATGATGGATGTGTCGACTGAAACAAACAGACTGAACTGCTGGAACACCTGGAACAAAAACACGCTAGCATTACCTCATAACGAATAGGCAAGTACCCCACGCTGAAAATAACAACAGACACACACACTAATGTCGTATCCCTACAGATCAACAGCATAAACCTCAATGATTACAGTATTCCCTGCAAAGAAATTGAATTCGAGCAAGTACTAAACACAAGACAATGTTACACATGCTATAAATTTGGCCACAACTCTAAGCAGTGCAACGAAACACAGATCTGCTCAAAATGCGCTAACAAAAACCACTCCCATCACTTCTGCACATCCACAACAATTAAATGTTGCAACAGTGGAGGAAAATAAACAACTGTTAGTCACAAATGCCTCATCCACTCCTTCCCACATTCACGACTCTGCCTGGACAAGACCCACAACCATCAACATTTCAACCACCCTAATACTCCCATCACACCAAAATAAACACAATTGTGAGAGTATCCCAT